AAAAAAGGACAAGAAACCTTTTTATGGTTTGGCTGTTGACATCAAAAAAGCTTATGACTCATTACCGAGAATTATGCTTCGTGATGGACTGCTATTCTTAGGGATTGATGAAATTACTGCTGATGGAATTCTGGAAATATTAGGTGAATCTACGACAAAGTTTGTTATACCTAATGGTAAATCTGAATGTTTCAATGTGAAAGATGGATTGAAACAAGGCGACACCTTCTCTCCCCTTGCATTCAAAATTGCGCTTGAGCCTCTCTTACAATTTTTAGAAATAACATATAATGGTGCTAGTGTTGCAAATTATTGGAACATTAGTACAGGCGCATGGATTGATGATTTGAACTCATTTTCCAACGAACTACCTGAAATTGAAAATTCTTTGCATGACATTGAAACCTATCTTCATGGCTATCACATGGAATTAGATCATTCCAAAACTAACCTCTTCTCTGATAAGGAATGTAGTATCAAGACATTATCTGGAAGTACGATCAAAAGTAATGATTCTATTATTATACTTGGTAATAATATTACCAATAATACTGAGGAACAAAAGAAATACACTACTTCAATTATTGAAGAAGTTAAAAGAAGAACTAACTCTATTGGCTGGAATTTTCCAATACAGAACATTGTCAAAATTATCAACACAGACATTGTTCCGTATGCACTGTACCACCTAATTCCTCTTGCTAATGACCATCTAGAGAAACAAATTGATAAATTCTTTCGCAACTTTATATGTGAAAGATTAAGAACCAAGAGAAAATTAGCTCTCGAGTGGTTTTATACTCATCAAGACAAAGGTGGACTTGGATTAATTTCTGTGCAAGAAATGAGTTACTCGGACCTAATGTGTAAAGTCAGAAAGTTCCTTGAACAATATGATATTTGTCTTGGATCTTCTACAAGATTCCTTTGTGAACGAATCAAACAGGAGCATGGTTTTGACATCCTCAATGATCCAATCCCTACTTGGTATAAACCAGACCCATGGATTCCTCAATATCTCAAGAGAATAATTTTCATGAACAAATCTTCCAATATTAGATTGTGGCATTCGAGTGACCAATGGCATGAAAAAACTCTCATCCCTTATGGAAAATTCCCTAAAGGTTTAAGACAATTCCTGCTCTATAAAGATTGGAACAGATTAAGTATGTGGGTTCCTGACCCTAAAAATTTACAAGTGAAATTACATAATGACATCAAACATTCCAATCATGTCACCCAAATTCGCAACATTCTCAATAGCATGGATTTTGGAAAAATCAAAGACGAAAGCAAATACTACAAATATGTTGGTAACAACACATCCATGTCAAACCTCTTGAACAAAGCTACACTAATTGGTACTGACGGATCGTGTAACAATAATATTGCTGGATACCGTATTGTAACTGATCAGAATGTTTCCATCTCAAGTCACACCTTAGGACAAGGAACTTCCTACAACAGTGAAGTTCAAGCGCTCCACACAGTTGTTAGATTGCTAGATAACAACACTCCTAGAACAATAGTCATAGATGCGAAAAGTATTTATGACCAACTTTTCCAATTCAGAAAATCTAGAGATCCTTATGTTGAAGAAATTCGTAATTATTTAAAAATGAAGGATCAGATCAAAATTATGCATGTTAATAGTCATACAGGTAAACAAGATATCTATAGCCGCATAAATGAATTAGCAGATAGGGCTGCTAAGAAAGGTGCTGATTGTAACAATATTCTTACTAATATTCCATCCAATAATTGGTATATTATTATCAACAATGTATTATACACTCAAAACACTAGACAAACAATGTACAAACTTCTATTTCAACGCCTCCACAAAAGAACATATACGCCAAAGAACCTTCCTCCCAAGAACAGAAAGTTCACCAACATTTACCCCTCAATAGGAATCGGTTTCAGAACCTTAAATCTAATATTTAAAATTAGAATGAACGTGATGAAGACTTTGGAAAATTTAAACAAGATATCCAAGACGAACTTGCTATGTCCTTGCTGTAGTAGAGAGACAATGCAACACATTATTTTTGAATGTAAATACTTTTGTGATATAAGAAAAGAAATGTTTAGGAATTTATATAATATCTCAATATATGCAAAGAATAACAAGAAGTTCTCCAAACGACTATTGTACCTCATCAAGACTAAACAAGATATCCATAGCCTAACAGGTGCTAAAGTTGGATTGGGTAAGAAATGGGACAAAGTATTTACTAAGGAAGCTTATCGATCTATTACTAAAATGTGGATGAAACGAAATCATTTTTTCATGGAAGAATTGAAACTCACCTGGAATGAATTTGAACAACAATACGATTTTAATCCTAATTTCATTGATTTGAACAAGTTTAAACTATACATGAAATACCCACGACCATGAATAATAATTGAAATTTACAACAATATTTGAAATTTACACTAACCTTGATGACAAACAATAATTGAAATTTACA